CTTTGATCCTTCACTTCTTCCAGCTACAATCCCATTATGCAGCCTCACTGTTCAGATTTTCTTTTTTTTTAAGTTTGTTTATTTTGAGAGTGGGGGGGGAGAGAGAGAGAGAATGAGCGGGGTAGGGACAAAGAGAGAGACTCCCAAGCAGGTTCTGTACTTTCAGCAAAGTGCCCTACACAGGGCTTGAACTTATGAACTGTGAGATCATAACTTGAGCTGAAATCACTCTCCACAATAGCTAAAACATGGAAAGAGCCTAAGTGTCCATCAACAGACGAATGGATCAAGAAGATGTGGTTTATCTATACCATGGAATACTCCATGGCAATGAGAAACAATGAAATCTGGCCATGTGTAGCAACATGGATGGACCTTGAGGGTGTTATGCTGAGCGAAATAAGTCAGGCAGAGAAGGACAAATACCATATGTTTGCACGTATAGGAGGATTAGGAGGAACTTGACAGAGGACCAAGGGGGAGAAGAAGGGCGGAAATGGTGGGGGAAAGGGAGAGAGGCAAACCATGAGAGACTCTTGAATGCTGACAAAAACTGAGGACTGATGGATGTGGGGGGGAGGGGGGATGGGCATGAAGGAGGGCACTTTGGGGATGAGCACTGAGTGTTATGTAGAAACTAATTTGACAATAAACTATTTGTAAAAAAAAAAAAAAAAAAAAATAACTTGAGCTGAAATCAAGAGTTGGCCGCCTAACTGACTGAGCCACCCAGGAGCCCCCATGTTCAGATTTTCTGAATGAGTTGTCTATACATGTCTTCTCTTATTCCTCTCATATTCCATTAACTCTTCAACCCACCACAGTTGGCATTGGTCCCCGCCCCTTTACTGAAACTCCTCCTATCTTATTTGGCAAGTTTTTTATGTTGCCAGCTCCATTGGACATATTTCTTTGCATATAATACTCAACCTCTCATCTCTCATTTGACATTGTGACCATGCCTTTTGCCGTGAAATACCTTTATCTCGTGGCTTGCCTGACACCAGACCCTGCAGATTTTTTTCTACTTCATTGGTTATTCCTTTTCAATCTCCTTTGGTGGCTTCCCCACTACTAGGCTTCTGTTAGAGTTTTTTGGAGCTTTGATCTGAGTCCTGGGAACATTTATCCAACTATCTGACATCTCCACGTAGATGTCTCAAAGGTATCTCTAACTTAACATAATGAGAAATGAACACCGATTTTTAAAATAGTGATAAAATGTTTGAGAAAATGACTAGATATAAGATAAATGTACTCAATACTTTTGTTATAATTGCAATAACCATGTAGAAATGAAACTAGAAAAAAATTGCATTTACTACAGTGATAAAAAAAACATAAAAAGTTTTGTAAGGCACAGAACCTATAGTCAAAAGATTTCAAAATCTTATTGGTGAGCATGAGCTCTGAACAAACTAAATAGTGTATATGCTTAGATGTGAAGCTTTAATATTATAAAATGCCAGTCATCTGAAAATTAATATACAAATTCAGTGCAATTCCAATTAGAATCTTAATAGGGTTGGGGCTTTTGTTGAGGAGAGGATTGGGTAGGATTACTTTAAAGCATGTAGAGAAGAGTAAATATCTAAAATTAGCTTTAAAAACTATTTAAAAAGGATATATGTGGAGATAAGAACTTGCTTTAACAAATATTAAACATCTTATACATAGAGTGTAATTAAAATGCTGTACTATTGACATAAAAATAGGCAGTAGGGGCACCTGGGTGTCTCATCTCAGTCGTAAGCATCCAACTCTTGATTTTGGCTCAGTTCAAGATCTCATAGTTGGTGAGATGGAACCCCACATTAGGCTGTGCGCTGACAGCATGGAGCATGTTTGGGATTCTCTCCCTCTGCCCTTTCCCTGCTCTCTCGCTCTCTCTCTCTCTCTCAAAGTAAGTATTTAAAAAATAGACAAATAGAACAGAATTAGTATCCCAAAATTGATCTCTGTATATGTGAGATGCTAATTAAGAACAAAAGTAATATCTCAGTTCAGTGGAAAAGGGTGGTTTATGTTAAAATTATGTGGATAAAAGAAGACTCATATTAGATAAAGAGCACCAAGAAATCAAAAAGATCAAGAGAACTAAACAAAAGCCCTTTCACGTAAAGGATATCCAGATGTCTAGTAAACGTGAAAAGTTACCCAACAACATTAATAACGAGAAATGTAAAGTAAAAACAAATGGGATTTCACTACACACCCATCAGCATGACTAAAATTAAAACGGACAATCCCAGTGTTTGTGGAGTAACTGGAATTCTCATATGATTGTAGGAGAGTATAAATCAGTAATAATCAAAGTTGAACATACGCGCACCTTAAGTCTAAAGCTAGAAACAACTAATATAAGCAATAGAATGCATTTTGTTGGTTGTATGTTTATATGTGAAATACTTTATAGCTAATAAAAGCCAACTATCAGCTGCTACAGGCAACAACACAGATGAATTTCAAAACAATGGAGAGAAAATAATTCATTTATGTGAAGTTGAATGGAGATGATGGCAAGATCCTTATGAACTACTGCAGTGGCATTTCTCCATTATGAGGGTCTGTACCATGCACTGCAAGATATTGGCCATTTCCACCCATTTAATGTCTGTAGCACTCTGTGGTCATCCAGCAACTACAAATTCCACTCCACGCCCCACAACTTACAGAATCTTTTTTGGGGGTGTAGGAGTGGAAGGTTGGTGCCGCTTCTGTTGAGACCCACAAAGCTAGAGTAATTGGAAGAGTCTCTCTTGGGGTGGGAGTGCCTGTGCTAACCTCAAAAGATGAGTAAGATCTTAATGTTTATTTATTTATTTTGGGAGAAAAAGAGAGGGAGAGCAGGGGAAGGGCAGAGAGAGAATTCCAAGCAGGCTCCGTGCTGCCAGTGCAGAGCCTGATGTGGGGCTCGAACTCATGAACTGTGAGATCATGACTTGAGCCAAAATCAAGTCAGTTGCTTAACCAACTGAGTCCCCCAGGCACACCAGGATGAGTAATATCTTAAAACCAGAGACCTTGGGACATGAACATCATACAGAAGAGGGAGCAGCATAAAGTACACTCTGTCTCAAACAAAGAAGCAGTGTGTCCTTTTTGGAAAATGGTTAGAAATAAAATTGGATAGAATGGAGTTAGAAGTGTTGATAAGGAGTGTGACAGGTGAGCAAACAGGGAAAGTCATTTTACTCTTGAATGCATCCTTCATGCTACTGCCAAATTAATTTTTTAAAGCAGTGCCCCATTCGGCGGTCCACTTCTTATTGCCTATGAGTCTTTACACCTTTGCTTTGTGCTCAAGGCATTTTATCTCAGCGTATTAATTCCAGTTTATGTCTTACTGCTCCTTAAAATTAATTAGGTATGTCTGGATGGCTAGCCCAATTGCTGTTTTTTCCCGCTTTCTTTGTCAATATGCTCACTTCATGTTTTTATTAATATCTCTCTTCTTTAATAAAATCTATCCTCATTCTGTCTGTACAGCTTACTATCCCAGAGACCTTGTCCCTAATGAAACTGGCCCATGCCATTCCACACCATCCCAATATCTTCTTTCTGTTTCTTACGGTATTTATGGTTTGTTCTACCATACTGAGCACAAAATTGTAGATAGCTTTTCATGCCTCTTGTTCTTGTTTCTCTGAATAATTTTTATTCTTCTAGAGAGCTGTAGGAGGTTAAGATCTATACCTCCCAGTATTTTTGTAAGCCTCCAAAGCAGCTTTTTTCTTTTCTTTTCTTTTCTTTTTTGGTCAGTTGATAGTAGGCATTGCCTTTGGAGTGAAATAGCATTAGATGCTGAGCACCCTGAAAACTCAAATTCTATATTTGTAGGTCACAGTATATTAATATTGCAACATTATAATGTTTCTTATATTTAAATTATCAAATACTTTTTGTTTCAGTAACTTGATTGAGTTCTTTTTGAAGGTAGGAACCAAGATGTTAATATGACTGCGTCCCTCACAATGCTTAGTAAGCTCACAATAACTACTCAGTATTTTAAATTTCGATTTTTTTATTTGCTTTATCAGTTTGCCTCAACTGTCACCATGTTGAGTCTGTTGTTTTGTTTTGCGAACAACAGAGGGCACCATTAGGGTACTTGTACAACCAAGAAATAATCCTGTCCCAGTCCTGGGTAGCTTTCTTGAACCACACTTTCCTCCTAATAAGTGGTATCATAGAAATTTGGAAGCTATACTAAATTAAAGCCGCCCAATCCCAACTATAGAGGAATACTGGCTTCAAGTTGTTTATTTGAAAAAAAGAGTAAGTACTGTCATATTTTGATCCTTTGTAGTTTTCAAACTTTTTCTTTCTCCTTGTTCCTGTGCTTTGCTCAAATGAAATCCTACCACAGATCTTACTGTGTTAATTAAATACATCCCTTCCCTGAAGAAAGAAGATAGAAATGGACTGGAGTCCCACCTTTGTATTCCCCCCCCAAAAGCTTAAAAGTCATTATAACTCATCTAATTAAACATGCTTTTAAAAAAATGATTATTTTGTGATATCTCACTTAGGAACTTAGTATAAAAATAGAAACATTTTAGTTTTACAGTGATTTTTTTATGTACAAAGGAAAATGCTCTGGAATAAATTCCTTGTTTTAGCAATGAAAGAGTTAATATACACAGCAGCAGAGACTGAGATATTGCAACGGGATAGTGCTTTCTGTTTCTGTCACTTGTGGTTTAAGAAAAGAGGGGGGTGTTCTGCATTTGAAAGGACTTTAATGAATGCTGTCAGTGTTTGTGAGAGCTAATGGTCAGTATGGGAAAGGAGAGGGGGGAAAGTGCTCTAGCTGCTTCAGGATAGGTGGGTCAGAGTTTGCTCTGATTGAACGGAATGTTCCACCCTGTCTCATCGTTACTCATTCTCCTTTGTTCTTTATATTCCGCTATACTCGTATAAAAGTTAATGTAGATATATATGTGAATGTGATTTATTTCCTTTCAATCTGTTTATTGTGCACAGCAGGGCATAGACTTCTCTTGTCTTGGTTGGATGCACAAATCTGTGTGCAGTGCTTTTTGCCCGTTGCCTAGACGATCACTTGGTTTCTCTGAGGATGTCTGGTTCTCGTAAAGAGTTTGATGTGAAGCAGATTTTGAAAATCAGATGGAGGTGGTTTAGCCATCAAGCATCATCTAATTCTACAGTTGACAGCCAGCAGGGAGAATTTTGGAATCGAGGACAGACTGGAGCAAACGGTGGGAGAAAGTTTTTAGATCCATGTAGCCTACAATTGCCTTTGGCTTCAATTGGTTACCGAAGGTCCAGCCAACTGGAATTTCAGAATTCACCTTCTTGGCCAATGGCATCCACCTCTGAAGTCCCTGCATTTGAGTTTACAGCAGAAGATTGTGGCGGTGCACACTGGCTGGATAGACCAGAAGTGGATGATGGCACTAGTGAAGAAGAAAATGAATCTGATTCCAGTTCATGCAGGTTGATTATTTTCTTACTGTTAGAAATGGGGTGTGGGGGTATATTCTCTATAGTGTTAATAATTTAGTGTTATTATTTATGTATGAAATATATATACCTCTACATGTATACACATGTATAATACCGTGGTATGCATGTATGATACTTCTGCTAGTGTTTATTAAAATGTCTAATATTAATTTTAATTTTGTAAATTATAAAGACAACAAGTAGCATTCATTTTGAAATATCTTGTGTTCCATATATAGATATGGTGCTGCCTTAAAAGTAATATATAGTAGCAATTTTATGTATCATTGCCTTGCAGTTTGCTTCATTCATTTACCTTCTACAGTCATATTAAAACTGTAGGAGACATGACATTTTAGTTTGTAGCAGATTATAGAGGCATGTTTTAATTTTAATGAAAATGAAAGGGTTTACAAGGAGATGCACATTGTAGTTGTCAGTAATTTTCTTACACCATTGTAGTTACAATAATATTTTTCTTACGGTTATTTCTCTTTGTCCTGTCTATGTTGCAGCCCTCCAGACTAATACAGAAAATACAGTAACATGTCTCTTTCAAAGATGACAGCTACTAATTCCTGTTACCTTCACTTCACTGAAAATTGTGCTATTTAGGGAAGTAAAGGGCATTCCTTCAGGAGAGTAGAAGGGAACATAGAGGAGCTAGATGTGGTTAATGGGTTAAAGCAGAGCAAGAAGAAGGGAAAGTGAGTTTGAGGAGAGAACATAAAGGAAAAATTGGTGATTTCGCAATGACTTTATTCATCTTCACCTTTGGAACCTGGCTTTATCTTTGAAATGAATTTTCTCATTAATCAGTTTAAACTGCTGCAGTATATTATGTAACAAGTTATAGCATGAAAATCATCTTTCTGATTCATCTTCACACAAGAATATTTCTAAATATTTAAAGGCTATTGTTTGTCTAACTTGATTATTGGATTCTTCTTTTAATATTTCTTTCAGGTTTTGATAACACTTGTAATTTGTATGTTGGTTATTGTCAATTATAGGCATCATAAGAGATGGAGACAAAATGAGTTCATATATTCAAGTATCTGTTACTTGGAGATATTTACTGCCTTATCTTCTTACCTTCAGAACATGGAATTCTGAACTGTGGTGTTGGAATAATAATAAATATAGACCAGTCATCTATAATCATTTGTATACTGGAGAAAGGGGCATATCTTTACATAGGTAACTAGTGTATTTAATTTAAAAAAATTTAAGTAGTTTGTGATTTGGCATTATCTTAAGTGAATAGGAGCCACATATAATTTTAATATGGAGATCAGTTGAGTTAGTGTGGTTTCATTGCTTTGTATTTTCTTTGGCGACTTGTTGCCATAAAGAGAATAATATATAAGTTTCACAGTGTATCATTTTTGTGGAAAACCAAAAAATAATCATCTCTCCATTTGAAAATCAATGCACCGTATCAAGAATATTTTAACAAAATCAGAAAAACCAATCATTCATTTACCACCGTAATTTTAAAAAATCTTAACCTGTAACTACTTCCTGTAGAGATTATACATATGTGAGTATATACAATGTATAAAGTTGGAAAGGTTATACACACATTGGTTGCTATAATTTACTTTCTTACAACAAAGGTTGTATGCATAACTAATGATTATTAGAATTAATTTAATGTATTCTTTAGTATCCATATCAAGATATCATCTTAGTGGGATATGCATTATGAAAGAAAAAGGTTGCCTTTTTTCTTTTTAGTGAGAGATTACTATATGCATGCTTCAAGAATATAAATTTGACATTTTTACTTACAGGGGAATTTGAAAGTAAGAAAATGGTATTTTTAAAAATCCAAATGTAGTTGCTTTAAAATGCTAATCAAGAAGATTGAGAAAGTAAATAATAAGATGGCAGTAAATAATTTAGATCTGCAGAGACCAAACTAATTCTAAAATTATTTCAAAAATAAAACGTACTTTTAAAAAGTCTCTGATTTTTAGATATAAGAAGGGAAATGTGTCAAAGCATCTTAATATTCCCAAAGGTTTTGAAATTTCTATCCCAACATCTTATTGCAAAAAGGGAAAAAAAAAATAACCACCATTCTGGATTTAGAATTGTCATTTGTATGTATGCTATTACTTCTTTGTTTTTTCTAGATTAAATATATATGATTCTCACATCTTCCTTCAGTCCTTCAGCTCTGAGTCTTTGATCTTTGTCATAAGGATACATTTATTTGCCCCCAGCTTTGTGATTAAGTGAGCAGTCTTCCTGGGTGGTTGCCCTTCTACTGTAAACAAATCAAAAGCTGTCACTGTTAATGTTGAAAGAAGCTATGCTGACATTCAATTAATTTTTGTCTAACTTGGAAATAATTCTTTTTCTTACATAATATTTACAAAAAATAAAACATAGTAAACATTTTATATGAGTATATTATAGATTGATATTTTAAAATATCAAAGACATAACAGGAAAATACATAATTATAAGTGGAGAATTTCTTTTTTAAGCATTCATATTACTTACACGGGTAGCTCTGAGAACTTAGATTGAAATTTCGAGTTATTAGAAAGGAAGGGAAAACAGCTGAGTGGTTTTACCTACACAAAATCCCAGCACTTACAGTGGGTCTACACAGTTCAAGGCAGAAGTTAAAAGCATCATAGCTTCCCTATGTTTGATTAGTTGCATTCTAACAAGGAGAAATGTCTGCCTCAGCCCTTAGACTTCTGCTCATTTCTTCTGCTGCACATCCAAGTGATTTAAAAGTTTTCATCTTTTAACTTTGATCTTGGGTCTGTAGCCTAGACAACATTTTCTTCATGGGAATCATCTAAGTCATTACATTGATATTAAAATACAACACTTATTTTTTACACCATGAGGAATTTTAGACTCTTAAGTGAGAATTGGCACCTTTTATGTGAGTAAAATTCTTACCAGGGCCAGCAAAGTTTACATTGTGACCTACCATGTGACCATAGATAATATAAACACAGTTTACACTTCACTTGATTTGCCAGCTTTGAAATTATGTCAATTTTGACATATTGGGGGACATTTCCTTATTTCCAGCTTTGTCATAAAGTTAGACCTTAATATTTTACATGTCAGATCTCAATGACATACTTTTAGTCAATATGTATAAAATATTACTGTATGTTACAAATATTCAGAACTAATAATAGCTAATACTGACTGAGTGTGTAGTATCTGTGAAGCACTGTTTTAAGCATTTTAGTATTAATTCATTTAGTCTTCACAACAAATTTCTGAGATAGCCACTGTTACCATTCTAATTTTATAGATGAGAACCAATGAAGAACAGAAAGGCTGGGTAACTTCCCCAGAGTTTGTAAGTGAAATAATTTTTCACTTTTCACTTTATTAAAAAATAAACTTTTTATTTTTCCATCTGTTTTAGATTTACAGGGAAATTGCAAAATAGTGTAGTGGATTCCTATACTCAGTTTCTCCTATTTTTAGTATATTAGTATGGTACATATATTACTATTAATGAACCAATATTGATACAGTATTATTAACTAAAGTCCATACTTTATTCAGATTTTCTGAATTTCTACCTAATGTCCTTTTTCTATTGTGGGATCCTCTCCAGGATCCCAGAATCCCATGGTGCCTTTAGTTAGCATGTGTCCTTAGGCTCCTCTGGGCTGTGACAGTTTCTCAACTTTCCTTGTTTTTGATGACCTTGGCAATTTGCGGAGTGCTAGTACTGGTCAGATGTTTTGTAGAATGTCTTACTCAATTGAGATTTGTCTGATGTTTTTCTCATGATTAGAGTGGGGTTATAAGTTGTGGGGAGGAAGACCACAAAATAAAGTGCATTTTCGTCACATCATATCAAAGATACATACTATTCAACCTCATTTACACTGTAGATATTGATCTTCATCACTTGGAAGTGGCTGCATTTTGAACCCAAGCAATTAAAATGTAGATTTCATGCTCACATGCCAGTAGGCAGTTGTCTGTGACTACTTATTCATCACGAAGTTCAACTTTGATTAACATAATAGTTAATGATTCATTCTAAACCAGTTTCACCTTCTCTCCTCAGGTAATTTTCTTAGCCAGGTTCTTGAAAATGCCAAACCTGGCTGCCTAACAGGTATAGGTTCTTAACACGGCCACAACTCTTTATCCACAGTCATCCCTCTGACCCATCTTAATTGGTTGCTCATTCCTCTGTGTTTCAATTATAGATATCCTTGCTATTCTTTGACTCCTCTTGATGGCATTTAGGTCCTCTTCCTCTCCCAACAAGGGGTTATCTCCACTTCTTTTAAGTGCTAGCTACCTCCTTTTTCTTGATCCTGTTTATGTTGTCTCTGCTTCTCTTTGTTTGAACCAGTCTGTTAATTCTGGTATGATCTGAAATTTATATCCTCTACATTTCCACATGAAATGAATTCTGTTTCCAGGGATGGCAAAGAAGTTCAACTGTACCATACTTTTATCTAGGAAGGTCGTATTGCATGTTCTCTGTCACACATATATGCCCAGGTCACAGCATGGGTTCCCTTGACCTAAAACTGAGCAACACATGTGTGTGCACCTGTCGGTGTGTGCGTGTGTATGTGTTAAATATTTCGTATATGGTGCAAGGAGTTCATGAACCTTCTAAAGCATCTCTGTATGCTGATCACTCTGCCTTCTTAGTTTTAGGCAACTGAAATTGACTGGTTGGCTTAACAGAATAGGAATTTGTTGGAATCATATGAATTCACAGAGCTGCTGAGAAAGCTGAAGAATTAGCCTGGGAAAAAGGATAGATGCTATAGTTGTACAACTGGCCTTTATAATTCCAATTTTAAAGGCAGAAGAACCTGCCTTTATGCCATTTATTGCCTGTACTTCATTTTTGTACATTTGCAACTAGATAGAGAGGTTTTACATTTTTAATATTAGGTATATTAGGCATGAAAACAATCACCCTCCCCTGACACACATATACACCCATATGCACATAGCCATATAATTTGGTCATTTAACTTTAGGGAGCATGTTAGTAAGGAATAGGCTAAGATAGTATAAACAAAGAGATTCAGACGTACAATGGCTCAAATAAAATAGAAGTTTATTTTTCTGTATCCTAACAGATAAGCAATGGGTCAGGGCTGATAATAGCTCTGCTTCACAACTTTACACAGAGACTCAGATTCCTTCCATATTGTTTCTGCATCCTGTAGGGTGTTACCTTTTCTTCATGTTCAGAGCTTACCTTCTTCTTTGCATTCTATCCTGTGGGAAGGACCAACAAAAGAAAAGGGAAGATATTAAGTGAATAGCACAAGTTGCATGTATCAATTCCACTCATATTCTTTTGTTGCAAACCTAGCCACATGGCCACAGCCAGCTGCAACGGAGGCTCAAATGTAATCTTTGCTAGGTAGCGATGTGTCCAGCAAAATTCATTACTGTGGTAGAAGGAAAGAATGATTTGGGAGTTATAAACAACAGAGTGCAAGGGGTGAAGACAGCTGAATAGAATTCTTCAGAGTTCTTTAGATAGAATTTTTAAATTAGTTTTACCATATTATGTAATATTTTTACCATGGAGATATTGGAAAATAAAGATTAAAAAATCACTATCCTGCCATCCAAAAAATAACAGCCACTAAGAATTTGGAGAAGTGTCATATATTTTCTATACATACGTAATAAAAATATGTATTTTTAAAAGGAAAATCTGAATCTTACACTAGATTCTATTTTGTAATCTACTTTTTTGCCCTACTGTAAATATTAAAATTAGGATTCTTTTTGTTGCAGAAGACAGAAGCCCAGCTCAAACTGACTAAAGCAAAAACTAGAAAATTTTGGTTCATATAAATAAATAAAGAATCCAAGGTTAGAGCTTAGTTTTATTCATGGCTGAATCCAGATACTCAAATAACACCACAAATCTATTACTTTTCCTCTCTAGATTCTGTTTTCCTTTGTGATGGCATTTTCTCAGGCAGGCTCACAGTATGGTAGCTAAAGAGCCACTAGCAGCTCCAAGTTTACTTTTTATCGGCTTAGCAACCTCAAAGGAAAGAGAGCAACTCTTCTTTTTTTAATAGTTTATTGTCAAGTCGGTTTCCATATCACATCTAGTGCTCATCCCGACAAGTGTCCTCCTCCATGCCCATTACCCCCATCTTCTCCCCCACACCCCCATCAGCCCTCAGTTCGTTCTCAGCATT